AGAGAGAGAGAGAGATTTGGTTTTTATTGTCAGAGAAATAAAAGTTACAATCTCTTGGATATTTATAGACAAAATATTTTTTAATTCAAACTAGACTATTTTCCTATTTTTAGTATGATGTGAAAGGTAGGAGTTGTTTTGAGTAGGGTTTCTTTTAGCATTTTTCCCTAGCGGTAATTTGGCAATAAGATCTACACACAAATATCCTTCTAAACTCTCTTGATAATATAGCATACACTGTCCATTTTATTAGCTCAATCTATGCGTTCATATAATGACTGTGATTCTTTGATGTTTGATATGCAATAAATGAAACTAAGATCTTTCCGATTGTTCGGGTCCATCAAGGAATTCTAGCTATTAGGTTATGATTTGAAGTTTCTCAAATGATCTTTCAAGGATTTTGGTGCTAAACTACGAGGAATTTTGAGTGATGCTTGGCTCCCATTTGGTATTTTCAAGTACTGATTGTGATTCATTCATTTTAAGCTAGATGCTTCAGCTTAAATAGCATAATTTGGCTCCTTGGTGGATATATGGGGTACCTGAGGATGATTTGTAATTTTGATCTATCATCCTTTGTGATCTATCCTCCTATAGAGCATCATATTAGATCTTACTTGTGTCTAACTACTTTTCCAATATTATCTCTAAAAGCCATTGTTATCGGAATCTCTCATCTAAGGTCGCGATCCTGATTTGGAATCCTGATTCCACAATTCTGACAAGGAATCTTCATGGCATCCATTTTCGTGAAGTCAGGAATCTCGATTCCCTATTTTAAGAATCTCGATTCAACTTACGGAATATCATTTCTAATAGTTATTGATTCTCAATTGTACATTTCTTAAATTTGGATTCCACTTATGATGATACTCTTTCCATCAAATTAAAAACACACAGTGCCATGAACTACAAAATAAATAATTCAGAACCTAGGAGAAGCATCATAGTAGAAACCCGCTTCCAGTGATATCGGAATCTCAATTCTATATATAAAGGAATCTAGATCCCTATGGGTCGATCCCAAATAGGGCAGAAACTTGATTCCATAGAGGATGGAATCGGGATTCCATATATGTAGGGATCTCGATTCTGTTGGGTTGAATCTTGATTCCTATAAAGTAGGAATCTTGATTCTTATAATTCCCCTCGTACGGGCGTAGATTCCAAAACCATGATCATCGATTCCGAAAATATGAATCTTCTAGCTAGCTGCGATTCTGCGATTCCGATTTCTAAAACAATTCACAATCTCACGTGTTTCCAACAACTATGCTCAAAACCACTGCTTGATACCATGATTCTTCAGAAAGTCATTGAAGTGGTCATGATTATATACCATTTCTTATGATCTTGTAGTGTTGGTAGCAATTAATTGATGGTGGCCGCAACTTGGTCTTTAATTATGCTTTTTGCTTTTTGAATTCATGCTTCTCGATTTATTAAAACTGCTGAAACTATTTGATACATTTAAAGTGAGATTTGAAGTTTGTGGTCTGCTAGCTTGAAAGGAAGATACTTATAAACGTTAAGTTACTTAGTTTTAGAATTTGTGTGTAACCACTGACTGTCACTAGTTACCATCTATGTTTTTCTTTCCTGGGCCATGATTTTTTCATCTGTAGGTCACTAATTATCATCTTTTTTTTTATCCTAGTTAGCTCGAGGGCTTAGATCTGTGAACTACTGTGCAAATTCAGCATGGTGTATATATATATATATACATATATATATATGTATATATATGTATATATATATATATACATATATATATATATATATACATATAGGAAAAAGCTGGGGTTAGCCCACTAGCTCATATGAACATATGAGCCCAATGGCTCAGATTGAATCTGGGCCGATCTAACGACCACGGATGTCCGTTAGTGTTTAATTTTTTATTTCTACAAATCCAAATCACTTGAAATTTTAAGCTTGTGTTCATCAAAAATAGGTGAATCTTCAAAAAATATCAAAAAAATATTTTAGATGAAATAAATTGACCAAAATACCCCGAAAAGTTTTGGGGGGTATTTTGGTCATTTTTCCTTTCACAAATAATTTTTTAATATCTTAATAGGTGCACCTTGATGAGAAAAACACACACCTAAAATTTCAAGTGATTTGGATTTGTAGAAAAATAAATAAAATTCAAGCACTACTGGACATTTGCGATCATCAGATCGGCCCAGATTCAATCTGGGCCGTTGGGCTCATATGTTCATATGAACTAGTGGGCTAACCCCAGCTTTTTCCCTATATATATATACATATATCAATTATTTAGGGGAGAGAGTGAAATTTAGGATGCTATGAATGTGAATTTTCTTGATCCCATGTAGCATGAAGTAATAAAGTTTTCATTGGCAATTCGTCGGAGTGTCTTCAATGAAAGTGTACTGCCTATCAGGAAACTTGTCATTCTTCAAATCTAATCTAAGAAGTTATTGTGTTACAGGGCTTTCAAGTTTGTACCTGTAGCTTCTATTTCCCAGATTATTTATTGATTATGTAAAATATGCTGCAGGTAGCTTGTTTCCCGTTTGATGACCATAATTGTCCTCCTATTCAACTTATAATTTCATTTTGTCAAAGTGCTTACTTATGGCTGAAAGAAGATATCGAAAATGTTGTTGTTGTTCACTGCAAAGCTGGTATGGCAAGGACAGGTCTAATGATATCAAGTCTTCTTTTATATTTGAAGGTGATATAAAAGTTTTCTACTTTTCTTCTTTATATTTTTGTTTCCATTTTAGAAGTGCTTGGTAATTTGCTGTATTTCCGTCACCAATTCAAGTGTGTTACTTGGTATATACAGTTCTTTCCCACAGCTGAAGAGTCGATTGCATACTACAATCAGAAACGCTGTGTGGACGGGAAGGGGCTTGTTCTCCCTAGTCAGATTGTGAGTTCATCCTTCATTAGCAAGCACAAAGTTTTGCACAAATAAGATGCTAATTTTACTGATTTTGTTAATTCTTTCTCTCTTGCAGCGTTATGTAAAATATTTTGAGCGCATTTTAACTTACTTCAATGGTGAAAATCAGCCTGGGCGAAGGTATACTTGCTATTGGATTTCAGTTACTTATTTATGGATCACTGGAGATATTGGTTCCTGTTTATTGAAGTATGAGTTTTACATTATCTTATATGTCTTCAGGTGCATGCTTAGGGGCTTCCGTCTTCATAGGTGTCCATACTGGATTCGGCCTTCCATTACAGTCTCTGATCATAATGGTGAACTGAAATTCCTTACTGTATCCCATACTTTTGTTTTATGGTTGCCATAACCCTGCATCCTATATTTTGTGTCACATGTTACCCTTGGACCTACGTTTGATGCATTGTTCTCAAAATCCCCCGATCTAACCGTTAACCGCTCGGATAGCTCGGAAATGGCCACCGGCCAGTTCCGGTTTTGAGCGGTTAGGGTGATCAACCGGTATTTAAAAAAGAAATATTAAAGAAAACGTATATAAATTCTAAAAAATAAGGAATTTGATTTGTAATTTTTTTTTAAATATTCTTTACATTATAGTAAAGATTAAAATTTATTTTGGCCATTAATACTCACTTTTATATTTTCCGATCTTTTTTTTAAAAAATTTAAAATAGCCCTTGGAAAATATAAAATGGGTTAAAACTCATTTTTTTCATTAATTTTCTGCTTCATTTGAATGTGTTTTATTTTAATCATTCTTTATATGTTTTTCATATTTTAGTAGATTTTTTTTAATTTTTTTCAACACTTTTTTGACCGCCCAGGACTTGCCCGATTAGAGCGGTTGAATCGACCTGTTTACCGGTTAGGCCGGTTAAATCGCTTCTAGACCCATGTCTGGTTAACCGTTCTGATTCGATTTTGCGAACACTGGTTTGATGTCATGTCTTTATTTTGGACCTATATTCCATTTCATATGTTCTCTTGATGCAATCCTTAAAAATTGAATTCACTAGAAAAAAATGGAAACCCTTGCTTTTAGCCAGCAAGTTTGTGTAAACCTCAAAAAATGCCATGCATATTTTAAGTATCTCAAGACTGCTTTACATTTCCTGCATTAATGCATTCTCTTTTGTCATCCTTTTGTTCTGAAGTGCCCCTCCCTCTACCCATTCCCCAAACACCATCTCAAGAAGACCAAATCTCGCTCTCTGCCCAAACCCAATCAAAATCTCCCCCCCACCCCTCTTCCTCCCCATGCAAAAACACACACCTCACAAAGGTTCAAGAATCCAAATCAAACCCAAAAATTAGTCATTCTCTCTCATTTCTTCCTCTACAAAAGATCCATAAACATCCTTTGTTTTCTTGGCCCAAAACCTTTTGCTCTCTCTCTCTCTCTCTCTCTCTCTCTCTCACTCACTTTGTGCCCCCCTGTCCCCGCCCTTTTCTCTTCCATGTCATGAAAGTCGTAGCTCCCCATACCATGCCGAAATTTAAATCTGTCTCACACACACACATCTCTCTCTCTACATGCATACCAAACCCAATTCTTGAACTCTCTCTCTCATTACTGAATCAGAAAACCAAACGCCTCTATTTACTAACCGAACCCAGAAATCTCATTTCTGAATTCAGACGCGAGAATGTGCACCTAAAAACAACTATTTTGGTAGTTAAATGGTGTATTGATGGCTAGTTTAGACTATGGATGAGAAAGTTATAGTGTCATGCTTAAGATTCCAATAAAGCAAAACATTGTGACTGTAAATTGATAATGCCTGGCAAAGAAGACTGAAGTTTTGGATGATATTGCGGCCTTGGATATGCAAGAAGAACGTTTCACCTTTTCAGAAAAGGAGAATAAGACCCCATATGGACATCCTCATAGCCATATCCGAGCCTTATCATTTTCCTGCCATTGCAGGCAAATAAGCTGTCTTCATTGGCTGTAGACACCCTTGTGCAATATCCTTGTTTTTAGTTTTTTAGTTTTTATTTTTGAAGGAGTTAACAAATTTATCCTTGTTTTTAGATGATATGGCAAGATAGGTCTTTTATCCTTTGGCTCATCTTTTTTACCAATAAGTAGGGCTCCATTCCATGAGTGGCCCATGTTTTAAGTGTTCAAACAACCTGATGCACCACTTATTTGGTGCAAATTTAAGGGTGTTTTATTCCTAAAACCCAAAACTCTCCATGTTCAGTAGAGGCCTAAGAGTGGATCTTTCACAAAGAGTATTATGAATATAGTTACTGAAATGTCCATCCTAGGTAGCGATTTTGGTTAAAAATCATGATTTTTGCATTTTTGCGAAGGAATCGCCACATATCCTGACTCTTGCATTTTAGGAATCACGATTACACCTTTTCTGATTCTTGTTCTGGTATCTTTGGAATCTAGATTCCACCCCACCAAATTTTGTGATTCATAGGTGCACAAGACCGTGATTCGGCCAATATGAGACATCACTTCATTTTATAGAATGCTTGGAATTTTTAAACATTATTTGAAAGGTTTTGTTATTAAAATTTTTTTAATAATTGATATACGATGGATATTAAAAACCCTATGGGTGTTGACAAACTCTAACTCACATCATTTCAAAATTTCAGGAATTTTTGACAAACTCTAACTTACATCATTCCAAAATTTCAGGAATTTGTAATAAATATCTCGTGTTATTATGAGTTTGCGTGTTTTTGGCTTTGAAATTCTTGTTGGTTTTGCTATTCTTCAAATCTCCCCTATCAATTTAGTATCAAAGCACGGCTTTATCAAAAAAAAAAAAAAAAATTTAGCATCAAAGCACGGTTTGAAAATGGTTAGAGATTGTAATGCTTAGTCGTGGAGGTCTCGGTCGTAGGGATACCGATTTGATCCAATTGCATAAGGAAATCAACAACTTGACAGTTAGGGTCACCCAAATGTTGCGCAAGCAAGACCATCAACAATGTGCCCTAAAAGAATAGGAATCTACGGGGATAGATCCAAATCATGAGAGTTTTAAGGAGATTGGGGCGAATCAGAGTCTGAATCTGAGTGGGAATCGACTGATCAGGTGTCAAGTTATGTAAATGCGTTAGATGCACTCTGGCAATGACAGGAACATAATTTTAAAGAACAACAATGATCCAATCTTCAAGTGGATTAAATATTCTGAGTCAGTGGATGGTGTTTTCTTTGATAGTGCTCTTATCTTTGATGGTAATCCTATATTCAATGAACCATTGGATGAAAACGAACTAATGAAGAACTTGGAGTTCCTATCAATGACGAAGAATAAGTTGTAGGTGATGGTGATGGTCGTCGTGATGTTAGTAATAATTGCGATAGTGGTGGTGGTGGTGAAGAGGTAAAAGAGGACGCAACTGGAGGTAGCGATTGTAAAGAGCTCTTGTCTCTCACCAATGGCGAGGTTGACCTTTCCTATTTCCAATTAGAGGATTCCATCACATTGGCAAGCTACTATAGCTTGGTGCACCAAAATTCTCAGCAACTTGTTTGAGGATCTTTTGATAAGGCTTATAACCCATAGGTCCCAGGATCAAGCCCCAATATCAAGCGCAATATTTAGGTTGATAGACACCTTGTGCTTAGAGGAGGTTACGTGTTAACCCATTTCAAAAATGAGGGTGAGCTTTCTCCAACTAGGGAAGAATGATGATGCGCAAAGTGCATCAAGTGGTCAGGGTGATAAATATCTTCTCTGGGAGTGGTAGATTCATTCTAATTCGCGTGCATATTTGGAGGAAACCCTAGGAGGGGTATCAAGAAAATAAGAGGAGCAAACAATACCTAGGTTGATTTTCTAGCCATTTTAATGTGATTTTTTTAGTAATTTTAATGTGGGGTTAATCTCCAATACTTAGTTTCTATTTCCTTTTATTTTCTTTTTTACTGTTCGTGGGTTACTATTCAAATGTACTGTTCGTAGGTTACTGTTCACAGGTGATATTCTCTGGAATCTTAGTATTGATTAGGGTGTTTATTTTTGAGTTACATTTGAGTTGGGATTATTTTAGTCATCTCGATTAATGTCAAGGGTATTTTGCACTTTTCTGTTGAAGTTAGGATTTTTTTTGGTCAAATGCTTAATTGCATGGACAATTTATTGTCCTATAGATATTAAACAATCAATACAAAAGGTGGGACATGAATAAGCTAGAGGCCGTCACATTTTTTCTTTTTTTCAGATTTGAGAATAGAGAAAGCCTAAGGCTGGGGAGGAAACTCTAGAATTTCTCCAAGTTTTGCATGTGTTTGGCTTGAGAGTCCTGCTATTTTTAATGTTCTTCATATTTCCCTGCATCAATACTGCTTGATTATTTCTTGACAAATTACATCATAGCTAAAAATGTGTGCTTGGTTTTCAACTCGGTTACAATTCTGTTTCTACTTTATGTGGAAACAAGTTTGTAAGTTGTTTAATATAATTTAAATTTATATATCTTACTATGCAGGTGTGCTCTTTTCAACCAAAAGGCATCCGAGGACAAAGGATATGATGGTACTGCTTCTAAATCACACTGATCACTAACTTTTTGTAGAAGCGATACCAACTGTTGAAGTGATAATCAATTGTGGCAGTCTACAGCTTTTAGTTATATTGCACTTGGAAGTTCTTGGATGGTCAAGAATCTTGGTGGATTTCCAATTGTTCCTTTAGTTTAGCAAGTAATTTGTAAATATTATGAACAATGCCTCTTAAAACTTTTGACTTCTTTTGATGTTATGTGAATATTAGGTACCATATCAGTATGGCCCTTCAGTTTCGTTTTTTTTAAGAAGGTTAACTTTACATATAAGATAAAGATTTATACAAGGACCAAAAGATGGCATCCCACAATTTGGGTGCTCTGTATACAAAAAACAAAACAGAGAAGAGAGAGAGAGAGAGAGAGAGAGAGAGAGAGAGAGAGAGGAGGTGGAGGAGAGAGTAGTGTAGAAGTAAAAGAAAAGAAAAAGAAAAAAAGGAAAAAAGAAAGTAACTAACTAAACTAAATAGACGAACGAAACTAAATTAAGTAAAAAGTAAAACTAAACGAAACGTAA